ACACTAGTATACAATGGATGGTATGAATGAAGCCATCCATTGTATACAACTGTCATGTGACCTGCTGTGATTGGTCACAGCAGGTCACATGGTACTGGCAACGGGGGGCGGTACTCAGATCTGTCATTGGCTGTGTCCGAGGTACACGGCCGGTGACAGATCGCGCCGCTCTGCAGGAGCGCAATCTGCGCATGTGCGGGAGGACGCTGTGTGGTGTCCACCTGGAACGCTGATGACATTTCCCGCCCGCCATTCGGCCATAGGGTGGGTGGCAAATGGTTAAAGCAGAATCCCCCCTCCCCCCCCAACCTTTAGTTAAGAAAGCTGTCATTTTACAGGCAGTTGCCGTGGTCCGGCTCCCGTGTCCAGCTATGGCATGAAATGTCAGTTGAGAGCTCTCATAGGCACACTGGTGACAGTTATCAGCACAGGTATGATTTGAATGTTACTGGCTGAACCTGCTCATTTGCATATCTTTGCAAAGGATTCTGGGAAATGGGTTTTGCCACCTCAGGGTTGATCAAATCTGAATTATTTGTGTTTTTAGATGGTTTATAGAGCCAGAAATATTTGGAAGTGAACATACAAGCCAAAAGAAAGATTTTAATGTTAAATTCAAATTTGACTCTCCATAGGTTGATATTTTGGTAGTTCGGACGGTTTAAAAAGACTCGAAGCTTACTGAGCAGATGGAGAGGTTGGGAAAGCTCAATGGACACCAGTGTGTAGGATCTCTCTGGGGCCGAATCAGTGACACTGATGTGAAGATTCCTCTGAGGGGAAGTTCATTGATACTGATGTGAGGATCTCTCTGAAAGAAGTTCAGTGATTACTGACAGGAGTGATACAAAAGGATCACTCAGGGGGAGTTCAGTGATACGGACAATGAGGATCTCTCTGGGGAAGTTCAATGATACTGACAAAGAGGATGTCACAGAGAAGTTCAGTGACACTGAGGGCAATACAGACTTCTCTGAGCCCCATTCCAGAACACTTGGAAGTTGAGCGTTGTTCCCTGCCTCTCTTTTTTAGGTGTTCCTGCATTGCAGACCCCCCCCCCCTGTTATCTCACATATAGATTCTTATTATTATAGCCACCCTAACTCCTCCCACAGTTCTTACACTACATAGACAGTAATATACCGAAACGTGCGGATTGTTCCCGATTGGATTGCTATTACTTTGTGGAACGTTTCGCCGAATGGTTCACGAAATATCGCGGTTTTTGTGGTGAAATTGATCCCATAGGAATGAATGGCGCAACTAGAGTGGGAGCTGACAAAAGCTAGAGTGTGAGCTGAAAAATTAGGACATATTTCTAAACTGCCATCACTCCCTCATTTTCAAGCCCACCTACACATATCTTATATCAAAACGTTCAGCTATCCCGGCTGTCACTAACAATGTCCACGGCTAAGCCATAGTCCTGGTAGTTTTCACAATATGACCATTTGTTTGCAACTCACGCCGCCCATTGACATTCATTGAAATCCACTCTAGACACCTGAAATTTGAAGGGAAATTTTTAAACTGCGACTGTGCCTTCATTTTTCATATTTCAGAGACATACATGACATGCATCAAAATGTAGGTCTGGGTCTTGTGATTCTCACAATGTAAAGCTCTTCGCTGTAGGATTTATAGTTTCAAAACGACAACCATTTGAAGATGGCAACCGCCAGTGAAGTGAGCAAGTTGGAGCAGTTTGTTTATAACCATGCCTCTCCTGTAGAGTGAGTTGCCATAGGAACCCAGGTGTGTGAGCAGGCAGCAGAGTGACAAAAGCTACTCCGCCCAGTTACTCCGCCCACTTCAGTTGTAGACTGCTGGTGGAGGCAAGAACACTTCACACACAATTTCCCCAGAAATTGTAGATTTTCTAGTTATTATTATTATACAGGATTTATGGCGCCAACAGTTTGCTCAGCGCTTTACAATATAACGGGAGACAATACAGCAACAATACAGTTCAATACAAGAGGGATAGGAGGGCCCTGATCCTGGGAGCTTACAATCTAAGATATATATATATATATTTCACAGTGGGGCAAAGAAGTATTTAGTCCCCACCAATGGTACAAGTTCTCCCACTTACAAAGATGAGAGAGGCCTGTAATTGGCATCATAGGGAGACCTCAACTATGAGAGACAAAATGAGAAAACAAATCCAGACAATCACATTGGCTGATCTGGAAAGAATTTATTTGCAAATTATGGTGGAAAATAAGTATTTGGTCAATATGAAAAGTTCCTGTCAATACTTTGTTATATATCCTTTGTTGGCAATGACAGAGGTCAGACGTTTCCTGTAAGTCCTCACAAGGTTGGCACACACTGTTGCTGGTATGTTGGCCCATCCTCCATGCAGATCTCCTCTAGAGCAGTGATGTTTTGGGGCTGTCGCTGGGCAACACGGACTTTCAACTCCCTCCAAAGGTTTTCTATGGGGTTGAGATCTGGAGACTGGCTAGGCCACTCCAGGACCTTGAAATGCTTCTTACGAAGCCACTCCTTCATTGCCCGGGCGGTATGTTTGGGATCATTGTCATGTTGGAAGACCCAGCCACGTTTCATCTTCAATGCCCTTGCTGATGGAAGGAGGTTTGCACTCAAAATCTCACGATACATGGCCCCATTCATTCTGTCCTGTACATGGATCAGTGGTCCTGGTCCCTTTGCGGAGAAACAGCCCCAAAACATGATGTTGCCACCCCCCATGCTTCACAGTAGGTATGGTGTTCTTTGGATGCAACTCAGCATTCTCTCTCCTCCAAACACGACGAGTTGTGTTTCTACCAAACAGTTCTATTTTGGTTTCATCTGACCATATGACATTCTCCCAATCCTCTTCTGGATCATCCAAATGCTCTCTAGCAAACTTCAGACGGGCCCGGACATGTACTGGCTTAAGCAGGGGACACGTCTGGCACTGCAGGATCTGAGTCCCTGGCGGCGTAGTGTGTTACTGATGGTAGCCTTTGTTATGTTGGTCCCAGCTCTCTGCAGGTCATTCGCTAGGTCCCCCCGTGTGGTCCTGGGATTTTTTGCTCACCGTTCGTGTGATCATTTTGACCCCACGGGGTGAGATCTTGCGTGGAGCCCCAGATCGAGGGAGATTATCAGTGGTCTTGTATGTCTTCCATTTTCTAATTATTGCTCCCACAGTTGATTAGTTCACACCAAGCTGCTTGCCTATTGCAGATTCAGTCTTCCCAGCCTGGTGCAGGTCTACAATTTTGTTTCTGGTGTCCTTCGACAGCTCTTTGGTCTTCACCATAGTGGAGTTTGGAGTTTTTTTTTTTTTCACGGATGGAGGGTGTGGGTCCTCGGGCCTTACCTGAAGTCTAGGGGGAGGATGTGTGGCCATACGGTTCCTTCCTCCCCTGATCCCTAGGGGTTTTCTCTTCGGGAGAACCCCCTCGCCTAGTACTGGATGTCCGGCTTCGGCTGGGCATAAGGAACGGTGGTCCACCAGGCCTTTTGGCCAGGAGGACCAAATGGGAACCTTGTCCCTGTCAGGAGCTTCGTGCCCCGGGGGATCAGGCGAACGGTCCAACCCTTTCGGGGGTAGGACAAACACACCCCTAAGTGCACTTTTTCGTGTGGTGTTCGCACTTGCACTTTTTTTTGTGATCACTTACGGGTTTTTCGTTCTAGTTTGCACGTTTGCGGACTTAAACAAAAAAAAAAAAAAAAAAAAAAAAAAAAAAATAGTGGAGTTTGGAGTGTGACTGTTTGAGGTTGTGGACAGGTGTCTTTTATACTGATAACAAGTTCAAACAGGTGCCATTGATACAGGTAATGAGTGCAGGACAGAGGAGCCTCTTAAAGAAGAAGGTCCAGGTCTGTGAGAGCCAGAAATCTTGCTTGTTTGTAGGTGACCAAATACTTATTTTCCACCATAATTTGCAAATAAATTCTTCCCAGATCAGCCAATGTGATTTGTTTTCTCATTTTGTCTCTCATAGTTGAGGTCTCCCTATGATGCCAATTACAGGCCTCTCTCATCTTTGTAAGTGGGAGAACTTGCACAATTGGTGGCTGACTAAATACTTTTTTTCCCCACTATATATATATATATATATAATTTTTTTTATTATTTTTTTTTTATATACTAATAGTGGCAGTGATCAGTGGCTTTGAATGGGAAATGTAAACGCACGCAGCGGAGCTCCTAGCACGCATGACGACGTTGATTGCAATACATATAGCAACGCACAAGTAAGAGCCATCATTCTAGTACCAGGCCACCTCCTGAACACTAAAACTGATGACCTATAGGGGGCTTTAGAAGAAAAAAAAAAACAATACATATAAATAATTGTTTGTTTTTTTTATTGTACATTCACATCAGTCCCTGACCCTCAAGGGGCGTACAGACTAAGGTCCCAAACTCACATTCATACATACACATACCAATTTAGACAGGATCCAATTAACCTACCAGTCTTTGGAGTGAGGGAGGAAACCGGAGTACCAGGAGGAAACCCAAGCAGGCACAGGGAGACCATGCAAACTTCAGGCAGGTGGTGCCGTGGTTGGGATTCGAACCAACGACCCAAGTACTGACAGGCGGAAGTGCTAACCATTTAGCCACCGCGCTGCCCTTGATGGTATATGTAGGGGACCTCTAGACTGAAGGGGTCTGTGATGACTTTTTTTTTTTTTTTAATTCAATCAAAGGTAAATAGATCATATTCCTATACAATGAATACAGAAGTTCCGCTCAGATAATCCTCATCCTGAAATGTTTCACCCACACAGGGCTTAGAGGTCTACCACCAAGCCTTGCTGGGGTGAAATTCCTTAAAGTGAGGGTCTGGGTGGACCTTCTGTATTTTTTTGTCCAGAACAATACATTTTTTATTCATGCTATCATCATCGGAGTGCAGCCAGTCCCTTTGACATGCGCAGAGGAGAGCACCTTTCAGCCAGCACCTGTGTCCACCGACAGGGTGGTTCTTCTTTTTGACTTTTTTTTTTGGTGTTTTTGCTTGCAGGAAAAAGAGAATACATTGAGGCTGTGATTCCAATGCCTCGTTTTACCGATTCCTCCATAGAAGAGACCCCATCCCCAGACAGCAGGAGCAGCAGCGGTCGCAGGTAGGAATATCCCTACAAACCAGCTAAAATCACACATCAGTCTAGGAGTGGGAGCTCAGTGACTGGGAAATGGTGGAGGAGAGTTGGGGTAAGGTTGGACACATCAGGGAGTGGGAGCTCAGTGACTGGGAAATGGTGGAGGAGAGTTGGGGTAAGGTTGGACACATCAGGGAGTGGGAGCTCAGTGACTGGGAAAAGGTCCCGGAGAGTCGGGGTAAGGTTGGGCACATCAGGGAGTGGGAGCTCAGTGACTGGGAAAAGGTCCAGGAGACTCGGGGTAAGATTGGACACATCAGGGAGTGGGAGCTCAGTGACTGGGAAATGGTGGAGGAGAGTTGGGGTAAGGTTGGACACATCAGGGAGTGGGAGCTCAGTGACTGGGAAAAGGTCCCGGAGAGTCGGGGTAAGGTTGGGCACATCAGGGAGTGGGAGCTCAGTGACTGGGAAAAGGTCCAGGAGACTCGGGGTAAGATTGGACACATCAGGGAGTGGGAGCTCAGTGACTGGGAAATGGTCGAGGAGAGTCGGGGTAAGGTTGGACACATCAGGGAGTGGGAGCTCAGTGACTGGGAAATGGTCGAGGAGGGTCAGGGTAAGGTTGGACACATCAGGGAGTGGGAGCTCAGTGACTGGGAAATGGTGGAGGAGAGTCGGGCAAGGTTGGACACATCAGGGAGTGGGAGCTCAGTGATTGGGAAAAGGTCCCGGAGAGTCGGGGTAAGGTTGGGCACATCAGGGAGTGGGAGCTCAGTGACTGGGAAATGGTGGAGGAGAGTCGGGCAAGGTTGGACACATCAGGGAGTGGGAGCTCAGTGACTGGGAAATGGTCGAGGAGAGTCGGGGTAAGGTTGGACACATCAGGGAGTGGGAGCTCAGTGACTGGGAAATGGTGGAGGAGAGTCGGGGCAAAGTTGGACACATCGGGAAGTGGGAGCTCAGTGATTGGGAAAAGGTCCCGGAGAGTCGGGGTAAGGTTGGGCACATCAGGGAGTGGGAGCTCAGTGACTGGGAAATGGTGGAGGAGAGTCGGGACAAGGTTGGACACATCAGGGAGTGGAAGCTCAGTGACTGGAGAATGGTCGAGGAGAGTCGGGACAAGGTTGGACACATCAGGGAGTGGGAGCTCAGTGACTGGGAAATGGTTGAGGAGAGTCGGGGTAAGGTTGGACACATCAGGGAGTGGGAGCTCAGTGACTGGGAAATGGTGGAGGAGAGTCGGGGCAAAGTTGGACACATCGGGAAGTGGGAGCTCAGTGACTGGAGAATGGTCGAGGAGAGTCGGGACAAGGTTGGACACATCAGGGAGAGGGAGCTCAGTGACTGGGAAAAGGTCCAGGAGAGTCATGGTAAGGTTGGACACATCAGGGAGTGGGAGCTCAGTGACTGGGAAATGGTGGAGGAGAGTCGGGTTAAGGTTGGACACATCAGGGAGTGGGAGCTCAGTGACTGGAGAATGGTCGAGGAGAGTCGGGACAAGGTTGGACACATCAGGGAGTGGGAGCTCAGTGACTGGGAAATGGTGGAGGAGAGTCGGGGAAAGGTTGGACACATCAGGGAGTGGGAGCTCAGTGACTGGGAAATGGTCGAGGAGAGTCGGGGGAAAGGTTGGACACATCAGGGAGTGGGAGCTCAGTGACTGGGAAATGGTCGAGGAGAGTCAGGGAAAGGTTGGACACATCAGGGAGTGGGAGCTCAGTGACTGGGAAATGGTCGAGGAGAGTCGGGGTAAGGTTGATGGACGCTGGCATTAGTGAGTATCTTGGAAAGAAATGAGGGTTGGTGCCTTTAGAGAGAATTAACTGCAGGATAGAGCAATGGAGGCACATTGCACACATTGAAGTGGTTGTAAAGGCTCCAGGCATTCTATGTGTGCAGCAGCCTACCCTAGTACTTACCCGAGCCCCATCGCGATCCAGCGATGTGCACAAGAGCCTCGGATCTCCAGGGACTCTCCCTTCTCTTGGCTGAGACAGTCCATCACAGCCAGTGAGCCAATGAGAAGAGAGAGGGGGCGGGCTGAGCTGCGGCTATGTGTGTGAATGGACATGCAGAGCAGCGACTTGGGTGCCCTCACAGCAAGCTGCTTGCTCTGGGGGCACTCGGCAGGAGGAGCCAGGAGCGTTGGCGGGGGTACTTAGAGGAGGAGGATCGGGGCTGCTCTGTACACCATTACATAACATCCTTGCCTCTTTTGTACAGTGTAGCCGGCTACACAAAGATTGGCCACACATTTACCCACATTGCTGTCCATTTATCCTTAACCCCTTCCTGCCTAAGGATGAAACAAATGTTAACGCCTAAGCACAATTTTGCAAATTTGGCGTGTCAGTAACACTATACATATCATCACGACTCCTTTATGTATCCAGGTGGATTATACCGCGTTTTTTCAGGACAAATTGGGCTTTCATTTGGTAGAAAATTTCTAATGGATATCTCCTGATATTTTTGTTTTATTTAAAAAAAAAAAAAAAAAAAAAAAAAAAAAAAACTGTCCCAGAAAAAAAAAAGAAGAAAAAAAATTGGCTGTACTGTTTGTTTCTTGCTGCTACCATAATTTACCATCAAAGAACAACCCAAAATAAATTCTCCTGCTCTTGATGATCACAGCGATACCACATACACTATACTGGCAAAAGTATCAGGCCGCCGCCCTTTCCACACACATGACCTTTAATTTAATGGCCCCCCAGTCTCAGTCCGTAGGGTTCAATATTGAGTTGGCCCCGCCCTTTCCACACACATGACCTTTAATGGCACCCCAGTCTTAGTCCGTAGGGTTCAATATTGAGTTGGCCCCGCCCTTTGCAGCTATAACAGCTTCAACTCTTCTGGGAAGGCCGTCCACAAGGTTTAGGAGGGTGTCTATGGGAAGGTTGGACCATTCTTCCAGAAGCACATTTGTCAGGTCAGGCACTGATGTCGGGGGAGGGGCCTGGCTCACAGTCTCCGCTCTAATTCATCCCAAAGGTGTTCTATGGGGTTGAGGTCAGGACTCTGTGCAGGACAGTCAAGTTCCTCCACCCCAAACTGGCTCCTCCATGTCTTTATGGACCTTGCTTTGTGCACTGGTGAGCAGTCATGTTGGTACAGGAAGGGGCCATCCCCAACTCCTCCCACAAAGTTGGGAGCATGAAATTGTCCAAAATGTCGCCTTAAGAGTTTCCTATGTATGTATGTACAATGTGTAAGTGTGTGTATATATATATATATGAAGAATATGGCCAAAATCGTAATATTATTATTATTATACAGTATTTATATAGCGCCAAAGGGTATGCTCAGCGCTGTACATTATAGGGGGACAGAATATGAGACAAGACAGTAACAATACAATACACGAGGGGTTCGAGGGCCCTGCTCTTTCGAGCTTACAATCTAGGAGGGAGGGGAAGGTGGTACAGGAGGAGATGGCTGTGGGGGATGAAGTGGTGGGAGGAGTGGAGGAGGTTAGTTGTTAGGTGAGGTCGGGTGTTAGGTGAGGTTGGGGTAGGCTTCCCTGAAGAGGAGGGTTTTCAGGGTGCGCCTGAAGGTGAGGAGGGTAGACGACAGTCTGATGGATTGGGCTAGGGAGTTCCAGAGGATGGGGGAAGTCCTGGAGAAGTCCTGCAATCGGGCGTGGGAGGAGGAGACCAGGGAGCTGGAGAGTAGGAGGTCCTGTGAGGAGCGGAGGGCACGGGTAGGGTAGTATTTGGGTATCAGGTCGGTGATGTAGTTTGGGGCAGCATTGTGAATGGCTTTGTAGGTCAGAGTTATATTTTTAATTCTTTTTTACATATATTTCAAATGTGTCTTTCTTCCATATGGGGGGGGGGGGACGAGAGGTCATCGGCATAGGGGTCTTGGATGTGGGTTGTTCAGAGACCTTTTTTTCTGCATTCTATAGGTCCAATGCATCTCGCCGGTCCGGATCCTCAGTGAGCAGCGTGTACAAGGAAGTGAGAGGCGCGGGGAGTGCACCGTGGACAAAGGTACCGTGTGTCATGTGATGGTACTACTTTGTAAATACCAATACATTTTATAGCATGAACAATTGTAATTGAATGTTATCAAAAATGACCTTCCCTTTTCAATCAGCAGCGCTGTAATTTTCTGTAAAATGCAATATGGCCACCTTGAGGTGTTCTGGACACCAAATGTGTACAGAATGCCCCCCAGCAACATCATTTCCTGTTTGTGTGATTGGCTCACTGATTTTCCAAGAAGTCTGCACTAAGATACAAGTCAGATTTTGGGCATCACCTGCAATTAAAATGTCATTTTTAGTGAGATACTCCTGAAGGGAAATCCCGTCTAAAGGGATGCAGACCCTGTCACTTTCCTCATTAGATTCCTGCAGGCGCAGCAGCTGATTGATAATTAGGGACCGCTCCCATCCGCATTCATTTTGCACATGGACCCAGGCGAATATCCATACCTTTCTTCAGAACAATGCAGGCCATACGCGGGTTGGATTCCGAAAGAATTTTCTTTTGAAAATATTTTCTAAGAATTTTAGTTTGAATTTCTCACCATTAATAGGCCGCAGAAACGGCTGATTTTCATGCGATCATCAAATTTGCAATGTTGGAACATTTTTGCAAAATGAACAAATTTCTAATCAATGATGGGAGAATCGTGCGAGAAATATAATCGAAAAAGGAACGAGCGTGAGCCGTGACCTGGAAAGAAAAAATATTCTTGAATATTCTTGGCCACAAAAAAAAGAAAATTCGTTCAGAATTTGAGCCGTGTATGACCTGCCTAACAAAAGGTAGGAATCTGCAACAAAGTATGTTATAATCCTTGCAATGTACATCGATCACCCAGAGGGGAAGGTTTTTGGAGCCGCTGTGCGTGGCAGCCAATCAGCTTTTAGCTTTTATTTTTAAAGCTTAACATAACAAGCTGAAGTTAGATGCTGATTGGTTACTATAGACAGCTGCTCAGATTCTGCCTGCCCCACCTTTGGTAAACTCCGCCTACCCAGGGGGTGAAAGGCTAATCCCAGAATCCTCTACTATTAGGTGGTGTGTCAGGACTTGCAATGTCAATATTTTATTGTTGTTGAATGGAACTTTGTGATTCAGCCCGGGTTCATGTATGTGCGGTATATCGCATGTGATTCGCATAGGAACCGCACCGCATTCCTGTGCGAATCACATGAGCTTTGTGTGCGGTGCGATCGGAGTCGTACATTATGTGTGGTTCTAATCGCACCGCACCCACACCAAAAAGGTGAATGGGATCGCACGGGTGTTCACACCTCTGCGATTCAATCCTGCACATCGCACCGCGTTTTTCAGACTGCTTTTGGGGTGTTATTAACTGAAACTTACACACCCGCAGCGGTTCGCATGAATGGGGTGCGATTCTGATGTGCTGCGGAATTCACACAGAAAACTCTGCAAATTCCGAACCGCATCAGTGTGGACCCGGGCTTTAAGTGGATGTAAACTCGGTAAAGTGACTGACCCCAGGTGATACGCACAGATGAAACAAATCCTCCTACATAAGTTGTACCTGTTTATCTTTAGCCCTCTATTCTCTACAGCCATTCAAAATCCAGAGTTTATAACAGCTTGTCTGAGCTTTCAGAAATCACAGGGTGGGGAGACCTCAGTGAGACAAGCCATAAAAGCCGATTGGAGGGATGATTTTTCCCCCCTTCCCCTCTTCCCCCCTTCCCCTCCTTCCCCCTCCCCCCTTCCCTCTTCCCCCCTTCCCCTTCCCCCCCCCTTCCCCTCTTCCCCCTTCCCCCCTTCCCCTTCCCCCCCTTCCCCCCTTCCCCTTCCCCCCTTCCCCATTCCCCCTCCCCCCTTAGGACAAAGCCACCGCCTCCACCCTTTCCCCCCTTACCCCCCCCTCCCTTACCCCCCTTTCCCTTACCCCCCTTTCTCCCTTACCCCCCTTTCCTCCCTTACCCCCCCCCTTCATCCTTCATCCTTTCCTCTTCCCCCTTTCCCCTTCATCCTTTCCTCTTCCCCCTTTCTCCCCTCTTCACCCTTTCCTCTTCCCCCTTTCTCCCCCTTCACCCCCCTCCCCCCTTCCCCCTTCACCCCCTCCCCCCTTCCCCTTCACCCCCTCCCCCCTCCCCCCTTTCCCCTTCATCCTTCACCCCCTCCCCCCTTTCCCCTTCATCCTTCACACCCCCTCCCCCCTTTCCCCTTCATCCTTCCCCCTTTCCCCTTCATCCTTCCCCCTTTCCCCTTCATCCTTCCCCCTTTCCCCTTCATCCTTCCCCTTTCCCCTTCATCCTTCCTCCTTTCCCCTTCATCCTTCCCCCTTTCCCCTTCATCCTTCCTCCTTTCCCCTTCATCCTTCCCCCTTTCCCCTTCATCCTTCCCCCTTTCCCCTTCATCCTTCCTCCTTTCCCCCTTCATCCTTCCTCCTTTTCCCCTTTCCCCTTCATCCTTCCTCCTTTCCTCTTCATCCTTCCTCCTTTCCCCTTCATCCTTCCTCCTTTCCCCTTCATCCTTCCTCCTTTCCCCTTCACACAGGAACAGAGCTGAGCCCGTCCGTGCTGGAGCTCCCTCTCCTGTCACCTTTTATCTTTTGGTGTCAGGAAATACGTTGGATGTGATTAAAGCTGATTTCAGAGGAATGAGGCAGCAGACAGAAATTACACTTAGCGCTTCGGATTGAGGCAAGTACACACTATAGAGAGCTATGCTTTGTTCATATTTCATGTTTGAGGTCTACAACCACCCTTTCGTTGCCAGTGTCTGCCAGTTTGTACAGACCTGACAGCGGGGGGGGGGGGGGGGATGGGGGGGGGGGGTTACACACAATCCGATGGCTTGCAGCCACTGGGATTGTGTGTAAATCTGACAAGCTAGAGACTACCTGCCTGTCAGGTGGAAGCAGTCAGGCGGCTACGCTGACCCGCCCAATTTCTTCCACACCCTCTTGGTAACGACACCCCCCCCCCTCCCATCAATGCCCGCCACGTCTTTATATTTTACTGAAATTTGGGGATGGAATTTATTGTGTAATGTATTGTTGGCCCTAAAATTCATTATAATGTGCTTTTAACTGTAATTTTGTGTTTCCTAGATATCTTAGCTGTAATATTGTGAGAAACATAAAGACTTGGTAACTGCCACTATTTTATTCTCCTAGGGTCTCTGCTCTCAGGAAATATATCATGTTTGGGGGGTTTTATGTAATCTTCAGGCCTAAAATAATGTTTAGAAATGTGTAGCAAAAAAACCCACAAAATCAGCTGCTCTGGCAGCAAAAAGGTTAAATCTTGAGCTTCCAACAAACCACTACTAAATAAGCAGATCAAATGCATTTACACGATGACAACTAGTTTTACCTGCCAAAGGATTGCAATCTGTCCATCCAGTCCTGAGATCTGCACAGCTCTGCAGTTTATTAAAACTTACAAATCTGCTGCCCCCCCCCAGTCTGTAATTGGTCATTAAATCATTAAAGGTTTGTTCACACCACGTTCTACTGAGCTGCATTTTTGCTGCACATACAGTCATGGCCGAAATTGTTGGCACCCTTGATATTTCTCCAGGAAATCATGTATTTCTCACGAAACGTATTGCATTAAACACATGTTTTGCTATACACATGTATGTCTTCCCTTTGTGTGTATTGGGACAAAACAAAAAAAGGGAGGAAAGAAAGCAAATTCGACATTAATGTCACACAAACCTCCAAAAATGGGCTGGACAAAAGGTATTGGCACCCTTTCACAACTGCGGATAAATAAGAATGTTACAAGCATCGTGAGGCTCCTGTAACTCGACCTGGGGCAAGTAACAGGTGTGGGCAATATAGAAATCACACCTGAAAGGCAGATAAAAAGGAGACGATTCACTTAAACCTTTGCATTGTGTGTCTGTCTGTGCCACACTAAGCATGGACAACAGAAAGAGGAGACGAGAACTGTCTGAGGACCTGGAGAAACCAAAATGTGTGCAAAATATCAACAATCTCAAGTTACACAGTCCATCTCCTAGAGAACTAGATTTGCCTTTGTCCACAGTGCGCAACATTATCAAGAAGTTTGCAACCATGGGGCACTGTAGCTAATCTCCCTGGTCGTTGGACGGATGAGGGAAAATTGATGAAAAGATTGCAACTAGCAGAATAGTCCGGATGGTGGATAAGCAGCCCCAAACATGGTCACCAAAGACATTCAAGCTGTCCTGCAGGCTCAGGGAGCATCAGTGTCAGCGAGCGAACTATCCGTCGACATTTAAATGAAATGAAACGCTATGGCAGGAGACCCAGGAGGACCCCACTGCTGACACAGAGACATAAAAAAGCAAGGACTACAGTTTGCCAAAATGTACTTTGAGTAAGCCAAAAGCCTTCTGGGAAAACGTCTTGTGGACAGATGAGACCAAGATAGAGCTTTTCGGTAAAGCACATCATTCTACTGTTTACCGAAAACGGAATGAGGCCTACAAAGAACAAAACACAGTACCTACGGTAAAATATGTGGAGGTTCAATGATGTTTTGGGGTTGTTTTGCTGCCTCTGGCACTGGGTGCCTTGACTGTGTGCAAGGCATCATGAAATCTGAGGATACCAAAGGATTTTGGGTCGCCACTGTAGGGCCCAGTGTCGCAGAAAGCTGGGTTTTTGCGTCCAAGATCCTGGGTCTTCCAGCAGGACAATGAGTCCCCAAACATTACGTCAAAAAGCACTCAGAAATGGATGGCAAGAAGCGCTGGAGAGTTCTGAAGTGGCCAGCAATGAGCCCAATCTAAATCCACTTTGAACACCTGTGGAGAGATCTTAAAATTGCTGTTGGGAAAAAGGTGTCCTTCTCAATAAAGAGGAGACCTGGAGCTGTTTTGCAAAGGAAGAGTGGTCCAAAATTCCGGGTGAGAGGTGTCAGAAGCTTATGATGGTTATAGGAAGCGACTGATTTTCAGTTATGTTTTCCATAAGGGTGTGCAACCAAATATTAAGCTTAAGGGTTTGCCAATACCTTTTGTCCAGCCCATTTTTGGGGTTTTGTGTGACATT